CGCTTGCAGGAGATCCTATCTACTTCGAGTGTAACTAAATGAGCCAATGCACATTGGCATGCGATAATTTCACCAGCTGTTGTGCATCGCGGTGCAAGCATATAATGAGCAGCATTATATGCTGCATTAGAGCAGTATTATTAGGTGCCTCGCATCCTTGTTTTTCCGCTGAGGAGACGGACCTGTGACTCGGCCATACAGCGGAAGGTTAGCAACTGTGGCGAGGGGACTCACGTTTGTTGAGGTTCCACTTCAGAGCATAGAGGCGCCTCGTTGAGGGGGCTCTGGCAGAAGGGAGGGTAGGTCTGGGGTAGGTCACCTAGAACATCCGTGTCCCGTTCAGGGACCAGACATGGAGATTGCAGAGGTCTGGACGCGGGTGCCATACAGTGCCCTGTCTCTGAGAAAGCAGGTCCTTCCTCAGAGGAATGGGCCAAGGAGGTGCTGTCACGAGGAGCATGAGTTCGGGGAAACAGGTCCGGTTGGGCCAATACGGTGCAACTAACAAGACCTGCTCCTCGTTCTCCCTGACTTTGCACAGGGTCTGTGCGAGAAGGCTCACTGGGGGAAATGCATACTTGCGTAAGCCCCGGGCCAGCTGTGCGCCAGTGCATCCGTGTTGAGGATCCCCTCAGTCAATGAATAAAATAACTGGCAATGGGTCGAGTCTGGAGAGGCAAACAGATCTATCTGAGAGGGTCCGAAGAAGTCCCATTTCAGCTGGACCACTTGGGGATGGAGACGTTACTCTCCCGGAAGCGTAGGCTGTCATGAGAGCTCGTCGGCTCCACGATTGAGCACGCCAGGGATGTGAATGGCACGGAGCGACCTCAGATGCTTCTGACTCCATAGGAGATGGTGGGCAAGTTGCGACATGCGGCGGGAGCGTAGACCACCTTGATGGTTGATGTATGCAATGGTCGCAGTGCTGTCCGTACAGACCAGTACGTGTTTGCCATGTAGCGGCCCTTTGAGGCGGCCCAGCCTAAGGCGTACTGTTAGCAACTCGAGGCAATTGAAACCTGAAACTGCATGCCCGTTGTACGTGGCCCCCCAGCCGGTGGCAGCCTATCTGTGAAGACCCCAGCATGTCTGGACACTTGTTCTATGGGAACACCTGCCCGTAGAAACGAAGGGTACAACCACGGGCTGAAGGTTGGAGGCCATCTCCGGACTCAGCAGTGAAGACAGTCCTGAAGCGGTCTCATATGAAGCAACCGAGTGGCGTTACTGCGGCTGCGGATGCCATATGCCCCAGGAGCCTCTGACAAAGTTTCAGTGGGACCGCTGTCCTGCTCTTGATTGTATTCAAGCAGTTTAACACTAACTGGACGCGCTCCTCTGTGAGTCGCGCTGTCTGGTTGACCGAGTCCAACTCCATACCGAGATAAGAGATCCTCTGCACAGGGGAGAGTTTGCTCTTGTCCCAGTTGACCCGAAGCCCCAACGGGCTGAGGTGACAGAGCACCATATCCCTGTGTTCGCACAACTGATCCCGAGACTGAGCCAGAATCAGCCAGTCGTCGAGATAGTTCATAATATGAACGGGCGACAGGGACAGCCCGAATGGTAGGACTTTGTACTGATATGCCCGTCCGGTCTGGTCTGTGTCGAGGAAGAATTGAGACATGAAAGTAGGCATCCTTCAGGTCGATCGCTGCAAACCAATCTTGGGGACGGATGCATTTGAAAATGTGTTTCTGTGTGAGCATCTTGAACGGAGCATCTTGTGCAGGGCCTGATTAAAGGTTCGCAGGTCCAAGATTGGCCGTAACCTTTGTGCCTTTCTTGGGTACAATGAAGTTGGGGCTGTAGAACCCTGTCTTCATGTCGGCTGGAGGGACCGGCTCGATCATGTCCTTCGCCAGTAGGACAGATCTCTGCCCACAAGACAGTGGCATTGCTGCTCCACACGGAGGTGAAGTGGATGCCCCTGAACTTGGGAGGGCGCCGAGCAAACTAAATCGCATAGCCGATTCTGATGGTACGGATGAGCCAGTGAGACGGGCTGGTGGCGCTAGCCAGGCTCCCAGACACTGTGCAAGCAGGACCAATGGGACCACGGACGTACCCGGGGTGGAGAAGTGAGGTGGAACACAGGGACTCGACTCGGGAGGCACTGAAGCGGCCCAAAGTCTGAGTGTGCTGTGCAACACTACCTGGTTCCTGGTTGAGGCAGAGGGTGCGTTGGAAGGCCTGGTAGCATCCCCGAACCGCACACTGCTGCCCGCTGGCGAAAGAGGGGGATGGGAGTGGCAATTCTCTTCTTACTGAGAATTTGGGTACCGCTGACTGAGACGTCAGCTGCGGAACAGAATTTAAATAAACAAAAGATTCTCCGCCCGGTCCTCCACCAGGGAAGAGCAGCTGATTTTGGGCTGCTGAGACAGGTGGCGCAGGTTTCCTGTGAAAGCTCGACGTCACAGTAGAGCTGGCTGTGATGGATTTTTTTTTTTTTTTTTTTGCAGGGGACTGATGCCCTTGGTGACAAACAGACTGAGCGGTAGCCCACGAGTGACTCTGGTAGCACATGGGGACAAACTCTTGGTTTACTTCAGCCTGCTTCTCAACTGTGGAGAACCGCTGGGTACAGTCTCCAACAGTGTCACCGAAAAAGGCCACCTCGTGAGATGGGAGCATCGAGAAAGCGAGCGTTGGCGATGTCTCGCACCTCTGAAAGGTTTAGCCCTGGGGTGCTTCTGGACCACCAGTGTGGACATCGTCTGACCGAGGGCCAGCACTGTGACTTAAACCACGGTCAGTCACTATGCACAGCTCAACCCCGACTCAGAACTACCCTCGTGCATTGCGTGTTTTGGCCTTCCCCAGACCATCACATCCAGGAAAGAGTAGGTCTGCCATTAGCAAAGCCACCCCACCACCAAGGGTAGTGAGAGAGGAAAAAACTTTTTCTGCAGATTTTGGCATATTTGGCTTGCCATATTGGCGCCAATATGCTTCCATACTGCCAAAGTTTTTCACACACATCCGGGCCGGCACGGGGGTGGGGCAAGGCAATTATGCGTCGCACTGCACCCCCAGAGTAGCCCGGGAAAGTGTGGCTGTCAAGTCTGAATCTCATTCAGCATGAGCACACACACACCATTCGAGTGGGAACTCAGCATCATCTTCATTTCCAGAGTGTAACAGCCCTCTCTCAGATGCAGTGATCGACATCCTGTCCTCCCATGGTGTCCCGAATGAAATGCTTGGTCCCTCATGAGAAGGACCAGTAATCCCATCCGAAAGCTGCCAGGCATGCGAGACAGCTGCCATCAACTTTGATGGCACACGGCACGCTGAGTGCTCAAGCCCTCGTGAGAAAGGCAAGACAAACAACGTGCCGACTCATAAGAGAGCATAAACCACCCACAAATACAGTCTGTGATGCGCTAGAGGAGTGAGTGGCCCGAGGAGGTTGTCTCGTCGGGGAACGCTCACTGTAATCTTCAGATCACCAGTGCTATTGGCCAAAGTAGCCCTTTTCTGGTGGCCACCAGAAGAGGAACTAGATTGGGGAATAGGCAAAGGGACTCCACCTCGTTTGAGGCACTTGAGTCTCGACCGCGCATCTAGAGCGCAGAACGACGCACGCTGGGCTGCCGTGACAACCTGCACTGTCAGCCGGCAGCTCGACGGCACACAGCACGCTGAGCGGCTCAAGCCTTTACGAGAAAGGGGAGACGAACAACGTGCCGATGTGGTCATGCTCTCCTGAGAGAACTCCTGAGGCATTCTCCTGAAGAAGCAGACTTGTCTTTTGAAGATAAAACACTCTCAGATAAGATTGCAGAGCAGGAACAGCATTCACCGTCTGGCTCTGAAGCGAAAGACAAGGATGCGAGGCACCTCCTGCTCATTATATGCTTGCGACCACGATGCACAGCAGCTGGTGCAATTATCGCATGCCAATGTGCATTGGCTCGTTTAGTTACACTCGAGGTAGATAGGCTCTCGCAAGCAGTCCCCATTCGTCAGAATCACTTCTGACTCGCGTCATAGTGAGCTGACGAAGGAGAATCACACAGTTTTAATCTTTGAGGGTCCAACCAAAATCCTGTCCAATCCTAAGCCTTCAATACTTCGAAGAATTGCACAGGCAGCACCCATCCACGAATAAGGTGTACATTTTCACCGCAACCAAAGCTTGTATTTGTTGTGGCATAGGATATATTCCTCATTACGAAAATTAAGATTCATATCAAGTTCCTCTACGTTGTCTTTCAGTACCATTTATATATAATTCCTGAAAGAGACCATGTTTCAACAAAGAGGACTAATTGGAATCATATTTATTGAAGAGACCAGTTTTTCATCCCAGAGAGCATTCCAACTAGAACCTCGTTCTTAATAAATGACGGTACATTAGATACTGTCACTCTCTTTGAAGGCGTACAAAGAGGTAACACATTGAGGTAAAATACCACCAATCTGTGTATTCTCTCCTAACAAGTTCGCCAGTTCGATCGTCTTAACAAACAGAACAATTGCATTGTTCATTTGTGACGCCGATAAAACATTATCATTTCCAATTACTGCACTCACCGCTAAACTACACTCCTCTATATTGGCAGTAACATAGATTTTCACACCATGACACCTCGTTAGAAACTCCAAACTCTGCACCTGGAGCTACCATACTCCCAGTACGCAGACTGGGAGTGAAAACTCCCCCAAAAGAACCACCTTTCTGTCACTAATATTACAATATATATATATATAGTTAATATAGCACAATTACTAAAGATAGAAAAGGGTAGAAAGAGCTTTCAAACACTCATATACATTACAACGCCGTTACACTCTCCATCCATGCTCCTCACTCAGTCAATCCATGCACACACATGGAAAGAGAGAGAGAGAGAGAGAGATTTTCTTGTTTATTTTGTTAATTGCTTATGTAATGGTCAATGCTTTTGCAATACTGTACAAGTCATGCCAATAAAGCTGATTTTAACTGAAATCGAATTGAATTAAGAGAGAGTATAATGCTCCACCATTGTGTTCCCACACTCTTGATCGTTCACTGCTCTTCAGACAGAGAGCACTCGGACAGCGAGCGTTCCCTCCTTTCATGTGTGGCCACGTAGTTCAGCAGGTCAATGACTGTCACGACCCCAAATACCATCTGCCTCATCTTGGGGGATCCATCACTCATATCTGTAAGACAGGAACTGCAATTAAGACTGCGGACATCCACTGCAATGACATCAAAGCCTGCATTTACTGTACTTCATCTGCACAGGATCCTGTGTTATTATCGTTAATTAAAAAGGGAGAAAGGGAGGGAGGGAGGGAGGGAGGGAGGAAGGGAGGGAGGGAGGGAGGGAAGGAGGAAGAGGGCGGGAGGGCCGGCAGGCATCCTGGAGGCTGATGAGGACGTGGTTAGGACAGACCAGAGGCCTCCAGGATGGAGCCTTCAGTTCGGGTGGCCAGGGCGGAGCCTACCGTTTGGGCGGCCAGGGCAGAGTCTGCAGCTCGGGCGCCCAGGGCGGAGCCTTCCGGTCGGGTGGCCAGGGCGGATCGGTCATCGTGACCTTTCCATGGGACTCAGGTTTGGCCAGGGACCACTAGCACCGCGTGGCGGCGGCCATCGTTGCCGGAGATGAGAGCTCAGGTGTGGCATGAAGCTCAGGCGGGGCAGAAATGACTTGAAGAAGCTTAGGCTTGACAGGCATGACGTGAAGAAGCTCAGGCTTGACAGGCATGACGTGAAGAAGCTCAGGCTTGACAGGCATGATGTGAAGAAGCTCTGGAAGGGCGGTCACGATGGGACGATACTCTGGAAGGGTGGTCTCGACGGGACGAGACCCTGGAAGGGTGGTCTCAAAGGGACGAGACTCTGGAAGGGTGGTCTGAATGGGACGAGACTCTGAAAGGATGATCTCGATGGGGACAAGACTCTGGAAGGGTAGTCTCGACAAGATGAGACTCTGAAAGGGTGGTCTCGGCGGGACGAGACTCTGGAAGGGTAGTCTCGACAAGATGAGACTCTGGAAGGGTGGTCTCGGCGGGACGAGACTCTGGAAGGGTGATGGCCATGACGGCGGAACAATGTTCTGGAAGGGTGGTCTCAACTGGAACAAAGCTCTCTAGACATCTGCAGAAAGCCTCTCTCCAGTCCAGTCCTGAGATATCTAAGAGCTCTCTGGGATGTAAAAAGTTTGCCGCAATCCGGTACACTGCTTTGATGATTTCATCATTCAAGGGGCAGGTGACTGCGAGATGACAGGACCCTTCCGTGTATTTGAACAGATCGTGGCTATTTTGAGCTATTTTGAATCTGTCCTTCAAGGTCGAAACGCATTGTTTCTTGTGGTCTGATCTTCTGTCACGGGTGGTTGCAGGAAGACAGAACAAGATAAAAGATGTCTTTTCAACACCAAGTTTTAATTATGATCAAAATACAGGACAGCAGAACAGGCAGCAACACACACTATTTACAACCGAGAACGGACCAAGACTGACTGAACAGAAGGAACTTAAATTGCAAACACAGATGACACTGATTAACGAAACACAGGTGATACGATGATTGACTAAACATAGGTGATATAGCTGACCTGATAATGACAGTGAAGATGAAATGTGACGTGATGACAGGCAGACAAGTCCAAATAGAACAAACTAAACCAAACACCACTGTGACATATATATGTATACTGTATGCATAGTATTATACATAGTATACACCCCAAACATTTGAAATGTTCATGACTAAAAATGGAGAGATTCCAGATTATTTAGGGAAAAGGTGGAACAAAGATTTTGAAACAGACTTACTCTGAATCTGTTCATTCACAACAAGGGCAAAATGGTCCGTCTCCAGGATACGTGAGAGTTTGCCCAGGTTATCAGTTAGGCGCACCTACAGCATGACAGACAAGTTGACTATTGAGAAATCACATTACCTGTGTTACTGGTTATTAAGTAACACTCGGTGTACTGATATTTAATTGACATGTACAATTAACACATTATTTATTATTCATCCAAGCCTCAGAAATCAAAATCCAAATCTTAATTATAGACAATCATAATTACATCCAACACTCATTTAGAGCCAGAGGGGAAATAAAAAAACACCAGAACAACATGCACTTCTGTAGGCTATGTTTATTGTGTGAATACTTTGTCTTGAACCTTCTTCTGCATGTACAGAATGACAGAAAGGGGTGTGTGTGTTTGCATCTTTGTGCCTACCTGTTTAAACTGTTTTAAGAGAACTTTGCTTATGGGATCAGATGGCCTAACCTTCCCAGCCAGAACAGACGAGAGCATGTTCCCCAACGTAACCATGCCCAGAATCTGCCTACAGGGAGAAAACCAAACAGCAGACTGAGCCAGACCCTCCTCCACTTATTTCTTCCTCCATCTGTTAGATCATTTTGCTATTTTTTTATAACAACATGACACTCTAAGTCTCAGTCTTGGTCTTGGACAACATCAGCACTGTACATTTTGCGTGTCTCCGTTGTCCGAAACACTTGGAGCCTCTAATGACCTGATGATACAAATCAGGGAGACGTACAAAATGAGCAGTGCTTGGGTACACAAATGTCCAGGATATCAGAATGTATGAAGCTATTGAAAATAACTTAAAATAATTAATAATGACAAATACTTTTTCTACTATGAAATGTTTCAATATCTGAATGAATTTTTTTTTTTTATAATTTTAGAAAAATAATTGTATAAAAATGAATAAGTACTATTAATATATAATTAATTACATGCTTATGCATATATATGCACACATACACAAACACAACATTTCTGAAACCTGTACTAAAAAAAGGAAATTCAGATATCTTAACTCCTAGTAATTATAAATCTTGCATTTTTGAGTAAAATATTAGAGAAAATAGTTTTTAATCAGTTAAGTATATTCTTAAATACACATTCAAAATTAGAGATGTTTCAGTCGGGTTTCAGAAAACATCATAGCACAGAGACCGCTCTTATTAAAGTAGTAAATGATATAAGAATAAACTTAGATAGAAATTGGCCTTCAGTTCTGGTGCTGCTGGACTTGAGCGCTGCGTTTGATACAGTGGATCACCAGATTCTCTTAAATAGACTACGCGAATATGTTGGCTTATCTGAAACCGTTTTAAATTGGTTTTTATCATATCTTAGTGGTAGAACATCTGCAGTATCTATTAATAATACCTTGTCTGAACATTATGAGGTACATTGTGGAGTTCCTCAGGGATCAATTTTAGGACCACTACTTTTTAATCTATATATGTTACCTCTCGGACGTATCATCAGGAGACATAGTATCTCTTTTCATAGTTATGCTGATGATACACAGTTATATGTAGCCGTATCTCCGGATGACACTGCAGGGCAAATTGATTCACTTGCATATTGCATCCAAGACATAAATGATTGGATGTCACAAAATTTCTTACAACTCAATCAAGATAAAACAGAAGTTTTGATAATTGGATCAAAAGAACAGAGAGAAAAAATAATCCCTAAACTAAATATCCTGGGATTAAACCCAAGTAAAGTGGCAAGGAATTTAGGTGTGGTCTTTGACTCTGATTTTAATTTTAAAGCGCATGTATGTAATGTTACTAAAATAGCTTTTTATCACAAAGCTTTCTGATGATCCAAACGACTTGGAAGCTCTCACGCCCAATATCCTACAGTTAAGATCAAAACCACTTCTTGCACCAGGACTTTTTCAAGAAAGTGACTTGTATATCAGATGTAGATTGCGACAAGTCCAATATCTATCTGATCTTTTCTGGAAAAGGTGAATAAAGGAGTATTTCCCATTGCTTCAGGAACGTCAAAAATGGATGAAACATCATGGATCCAACTGCTCCACGTTGCTCCTGGTCATTAGGAAAAACCATTCAAACATATCCTGACAAAAGGGGATTTGTTTGGTCTGTACAAAAACAGGATTACTGGATAGACCTGTTTCCAAAATCTGCTTACTGCTTGAAGATATAAAGGACTGATCTTCAACGAAGAAATGCACATACACCTTTTTTGGCTCCTTTGATAATTTAAGAGATAATTGTAGTTACACTAACAATTATGGGGCGGGTGTGTTGGAACCAGTGTTAATGTATATGTATTTCGGGCTGTCAGGAGGTGGGGGTTTTTAAACTGGTGTTTTACACATAGATTTAGGCCACATTTACACATAGCCGGGTATTTAGAGAAACGAATATTCCCCCCCCCTCCCCCCCCCTCCTTTTTCAGTAATAACATCGTGCACACAACATTGTTTTCAAAAAAGTTGTCATTTACATCAACCCGCATAAATACGCCATCGAGCACCATCATACCTATGCCAACCTGGGCGCTCACATGACGTTAAGTATATTCTGGCGCATAATGTGATGTTTGAGAATCTAAAACTCCGTTTCTCCCAGTTGACACGGCAACACATAACCGGCGTTATCAGAAATCTCCACTTTGGCCGGAGTTTTTAGAAATAATAGTTTTCTGTGATAAAAACAGGGTTTTCGTGTAAATGAGAGGCCAAACCGCAGGGAAATATCTGCGTCTTCCCTTCGTGTAAACGAGGCATTAGAGGGCTTGGTGGGGGGATGCATACAGTTTTTACCACACAAAGTTGGATGTTCACCGTCTAAACTATGTAAATGTTTGCATTTTGTTTAATAAAGTAACCGGAGAGTTGAGATCGACTACAAGACTGTTGATGTGATTTTTTGGCGCGTTTTGCTTTACAAATGCACAGCGTGAGTTACCCAAACTCACAGCACTTGCACATTTACAGAGTCCATTTACTGAAGTGATCGAGCCGCTCCTCACTATGAAACATTCACGAGTTCACACTTACATATAATTAGAGTGGATAAGATTTAATATTTGGCGTGCTGTCCGGGGGGAGGGCTCCGAGCTCGGAGTTTGGCCCGAACCCAGAGTACTCCCCCCTATGTAAGTGTTTAGGACTGGAAGTGTGGAGATGGGGTGGTGGAGGGATGCTGCTAAACTATCAATGGAGTGAGGTGAGATTGCTGAATCTATATACACTCACCGGCCACTTTATTAGGTACCCCATGCTAGTAACGGGTTGGACCCCCTTTTGCCTTCAGAACTGCCTCAATTCTTCGTGGCATAGATTCAACAAGGTGCTGGAAGCATTCCTCAGGGAGTTTGGTCCATATTGACATGATGGCATCACACAGTTGCCGCAGATTTGTCGGCTGCACATCCATGATGCGAATCTCCCGTTCCACCACATCCCAAAGATGCTCTATTGGGTTGAGATCTGGTGACTGTGGAGGCCATTTTAGTACAGTGAACTCATTGTCATGTTCAAGAAACCAATTTGAAATGATTAGAGCTTTGTGACATGGTGGAAGTAGCCATCAGAGGATGGGTACATGGTGGCCATAAAGGGATGGACATGGTCAGAAACAATGCTCAGGTAGGCCGTGGCATTTAAACGATGCCCAATTGGCACTAAGGGGCCTAAAGTGTGCCAGGAAAACATCCCCCACACCATTACACCACCACCACCAGCCTGCACAGTGGTAACAAGGCATGATGGTTCCATGTTCTCATTCTGTTTACGCCAAATTCTGACTCTAACATCTGAATGTCTCAACAGAAATCGAGACTCATCAGACCAGGCAACATTTTTCCAGTCTTCAACTGTGTTCATGCGACGAACAACCGTATAAGTCCAAAAAAACAAAAATTGAGATAACCATGTGACTTGAATGTATGTGTGCCACTTTGTATACAGAATCACTTTGGGGGTGTGTTCGCGCGACCAAAACTCTGTATTTTAAATTTTAAAATAGTCTCACGCGGAAAAACCGTTTATGTCCACTAACGAAAAATGGAGACGCCGGTTGCTTTCATGTCCGCTGCGGACATTAAACGGCAAAACCTCGGCAAAAAAAGGAGAGCGAACATGAATGAATGGAAGGACAGAGCAAGGAAGTCTTTGAGGGATGCTGGGAAACCATATGTGAACCGGAGAGGAGAGCAAAAACGAGGAAAAAGTCCACCGAAAGAGGTGAGTGAAAGAACCGTATACAAAGTATCTAACTTAGCAGCTACTGTTACAGTCAGAGGGGCGTGTAGGCTCCTGCGCGTCGTCTAACGTTACTACAGTTCATTCATATAGCTCACTCTGTTTAACGGATCAATTCATGAATGGGTCGAAATTAATGCTGTAGGCTACTACTCCTTATAACCGAGGATAAATGAATCGAAACATTATAGCTGCGTTTGATGTCTGGCTAGCCAGTTACTTTGTAACGTAGCTGGTTACAGTCAGGGGGCATATTACTGGGCGTCTAACGTTACTAATGTTCATACAGCTCTGACTGTTTAGCGAATCAAGTCATGAATGGGTCGAAATGAAAGCTGAGAAAATTAGACTTTGATTGCTTTATGTCTCTGAAATAAAAAAGTCATTGACGTGTTTAAAATATTTTGATATACTTTTTGGATCCCATGTTACCATTTATGCAACACTTTGTTTTGTGATATTGTATGCTATATTTGTTTGTTACTCATTTTTTAATAAATAAAAGGTAATAATAAAAAAATGCATTGATTGTGTAAGCTGTTACGTTATATATTATAGGTAGTAACCTTAATAGCTGCTAATAGCTCTAGTGTTCTATAGCTATATGTAACAAAAAAAACTCTAATGTGACTTTGTTTTTGTTAAGGGCAAGGTGTGCAAGGAGACGTATCCCAGGCAGTGTTCAAGCCTAACAGAACAAAGAAAACTCCAGCTCTTCACAGAGTTTTATGCTGTCTCTTATGAGAGGCAGCAGGCTATCATTCTCTCTGGTTTGGAGCAGGTAGGCTAACTTAAGCAATTCATGACCATATCATGTCAACAGTATGCAATGCATCACAATGTAGGCCCATGAAATAACCAGTGAATTGAATACTACTGTATGCCTTCAATTCACTAAGACTGCACATGTGCCTGATCACTGTAAATGTTAAATTTTGTGAGGATGGATGAAGGATGATCAGCATCAAGTAGGCCACCAAGTGCATTACAGTCAGACCACAGCGCTTTGGTGCCCTAAAATGCTTATTCATTCTCCTAACCAAAGCCTACTCACGTACTTAATGACCTTAACCTGACAGCTCTACAATACGGCTAGCCTGCTACGCTATGGTAAATGTCTTTTTACTTCATGTCTTTTTACTTCTAGCACAAGGTGAGTCGCAGACGACCACGTGGGCCTGACACTGAGATTACTAAGAGGAAGTACACCTTCAAGTACCATGTGCAACAAGGAGGCCAAAGACTTGCTGTTTGTAAACTCACATTTATGTCAGTCTTTCAACTGACCAACAGTCGCCTACAGGCAAGTTTTATATAGCCTAGCCTTTTCCGTTTGTTAACTTTTTATTACATGCATGATTTTAATTAGATACATTGTCCATAACATATTTATTTAAAGTTACTTATCTTTGAAAAGGTTATTCAAGAAAAGTTAGGCAGTCAGTCTGAGGGAACAGAGCAGGTAGCTAAAGTCAGGTCTCCATTAGAGGACTTCAGAGGAAAACATAAGAACAGGTAAGTAAAAAAAAACAAATCTTGAAGGACCTCATGCTCTCGTCCTGTTAGTTTTTAAAGCTGCACCATTGTCACACCTACAACATTCCCTGGTCTAATGGTGCACTGGACGCTGGCATTATAGAGCGTTGGGTGCCTTGCCACCCTATAACGCCAGTGTGCACATACCGTAATGGTTAGGATTCAGCTCACTGTTGTTGCCCAGTCAGGAAACATATTTTTGCACTTTGAAATCGATATCAGAGATAAAGTGCTATGCAAATGTAATGTATGATTATTCTTTGTATCATTACAACATGTGGATCTTAAAGGGATACTTCAGCTCTGGAAAGATTAATGTGTATTTAAAATGGGTCATTTATGTAGTAGAAATGTGAAATTATTTTTGAATGGAGCCTTCTAAAAGCCAGAAAATGTATTTTTGATTTATGGGGATGAAAGACAACAACTCCCAGATTGCAATGCTAAAATGCACACATCAATCAATCACATGTTTAGCATCCATGTAAACACTACATTCAGATTCACAAATCGGAATAAATTCAGTTAGATTGAAACAAAAGATGTGCATGTAAACAATGACAATTTTTGCGTCATCGGAGGATTTTTCCCAGACAAAAAATACATAAATCTCTCATCTCAGGGGGATATGAGGGAGAAAAGCATTGTAATTCGAAAATACTAAAAAGAATTCGGTTTTCTAATGATACAAAGCTTAATGCTAAATCTTGAAGTATCCCTTTAATGACTGTATGTGAAAAACAAAATCCTATAGTTTAGAGGAATGTTTATAATTATACATTTATGGTCACAGAAACAATGCAATTGTGCAAAACAGACCAGCATAGTTTATTATATTTCCCTTGTTCATGAGTTGTGGTGTTTATTTTTTAGGCCTCATAGCATTCATCCTGCAGTGAGAGAGGGTATAAGAGAGCATATCTTGAGCTTCCCACGCCAACCGAACCACTACTCACGGATGAAGGGAGATGTGGAGAGGGAGTACCTGAGCCCTGATTTAAACCTGCTCCGCATGTTCCGCCTGTACAAGGAACACAATCCAACATCCACTGCAAAGTTCTGGCTCTATAGGGACATCTTCAAGCAGCAGAACCTCAGTTTTGGGCAGCCAAGAAGTGACACTTGTGCGAAATGTGACGCCCTGTTTTTAAAATTAACAGCTGCTACAACAGAAGGAGAAAGGTTGAAGATCGCAGCCGAGAGTGAGCTTCACCACCGGAAAGCTGAAAAAGCGTACACCCAGTTGCAGGCTGACACAGAGTGGGCCAAAGCCAATGATGACTGCCATGTCATTTGTATCGACATGCAGGGGGTAGTGTTCACGCCAAACCTGACACACTCCAACGTGTACTATCAACGGCAGCTGGCCAACTACAACCTCTGTATCCAGGAGATGGGCACTGACGATCCTCCTACAATGTGCCTCTGGCATGAGGGCATCGCTCACAGAGGTTCCATCGAGGTGGCAAGCTGTCTTTTGAAGTGGGCAGAAACATCTTTTGCTCCCCTAGTCCAGGCAAAGGAACGGAAGCTCGTCATCTATAGTGACCGATGCTGTGGGCAGAACAACAACTGGCGAGTCCTAAACCTCATGGCCCTGCTCGTATCTAGAAGGTACTTCAGTCAGATAGAGCAGAAGTTCATGGTGTCTGGTCACTCCTTCCTTCCCTGTGACCGTTCCTTTGCCACGCTGGACAAGAGGCGTAAGGTGTCCACACTCCACACCCCCAGCGATGTCGCCGAGATGATCCGTGGAGCCAGGCAGCAGCATCCATTCAAAGTCATTGAGATGAAATGTCCGGACTTCAGGCAGCTCCCTGATGCAACATTAAAGCGTCCACCTGGCTTGCTAATCACATCCATGATGTGGTTGAAAGTGACAGGTAAAAAACAAAAGAGTAGGTCTTCTGAGATTAACAGTGTTGGGGATATGTGCGTGAAAGAAGAATCTTTATTGAATTTCTTGTTGAATCATGATTTCAGCTGCTGATCCATGGTGTGTCCACACAAAAGGGAGCCACAGCCTCTACGAGGGATGGAAGACCTGGCTGATCACCAAACAGAGGAAGAATCAACCACCTCCAGCTCCCTTGTTCTCCACCACGTATGCTCGTGCTTATGAGGACCCTCTGCCCGTCAAGAAGGAGAAGCACCGGGATCTTATGAAAATGCTAGCCTACATGCCACCGGAGGCCCAAGCATTTTATGGGGCATTAGAATGCGAAGAGTAGCCTGGTATGTGTAGGTCATGTGCAGGGTAAGGTGGGGTATATTGTGTATATTGTGTAAAATTAATCATAATAGTAGTTGTAGTTTATCTTGTATGCCTTATATTATGTTGTATAATAGGAATATATAGTTATTTATTTAGTAAATGAATGAATGGGGTGATTTATGAAATGTATTATAAAATGGTAAACTAGCATATGGAACCATAGCAAGGAATGATGATGATGTATGTCTGTATTGTAAATATGTATTGTTTACAGTTATTACTGTTGTTTATTGTTTGTATGTATTGTTGATTGTATGTACGGTTTATTGTTTGTAATGACGTTTATTTTCTGTACTATAAGTAGGCCTATGTATTGTTCATTGTTCGTACTGTATTGTCTGTGTTTTTGTTCTGTGATTTATGTTGGTAAAAAAATTAAAGAAATTGAAAGAAAGAAATGTTTAATATTTTCTTTAAGGTTCTGTCACTGTATTAAAACTAAGATAAAGGAATCAAATCTCCAGTGGTTTAAGTGATATGATGAATTGGACTTATACTGTTATTCCACATTAACTGGACTTATACTGTTCTTCCACATTCCAGAAATGTAAATTACTCTAACTTTTTATTTTTAAGATTGATACTAAAAAATCTTATCTCATTAGAATTGTGAAACTTTTGTTGTCTATCTTCAAGTAAAAAAAAAATATATATATAATATTCAGAGTCCAAATTAAAAAAATGTCATTATTCAAAATTTGAAAATATGGACTTATATGGTTCTTCGTCTCAAGCCCTCAACTGTTCAATTTTGGTGAGCTCTTGCAAATTGTAGCCTCTTTTTCCTATTTGTAGTGGAGATGAGTGGTACCCGGTGGAGTCTTCTGCTGTTGTAGCCCATCCGCCTCAAGGTTGTGCGTGTTGTGGCTTCACAAATGCTTTGCTGCATACCTCGGTTGTAACGAGTGGTTATTTCAGTCACTGTTGCCCTTCTATCAGCTCGAACCAGTCTGGCCATTCTCCTCTGACCTCTGGCATCAACAAGGCATTTTTCTTTTTCGGACCATTCTCTGTAAACCCTAGAGATGGTTGTGCGTGAAAATCCCAGTAGATTAGCAGTTTCTGAAATACTCAGACCAGCCCTTCTGGCACCAACAATCATGCCACGTTCAAAGTCACTCAAATCAACTTTCTTCTGCTCGGTTTGAACTGCAGGAGATTGTCTTGACCATGTCTACATGCCTAAATGCACTGAGTTGCCGCCATGTGATTGGCTGCTTAGAAATTAAGTGTTAACGAGCAGTTGGACAGGTGTACCTAATAAAGTGGCCGGTGAGTGTATACACCTCTTATCATTGATTGCTGAGTGCACTCCACTCGTGTTAATTAACTGAACGTGCTCCTCCCGAACTTAATAAAACATAATTTATTATTAGCACATTATAAACATCTACATTTGAGCAGATATCCAAGAACACAGTATTTCATAGTAAACACTGGTCTAAACATTATAATTTTCATCATGTTAGTGTAAACACTTAGCCTGGGAAAACACAGACAACTTCCGGCAAATTTAGATTTGCTCTGAAAGTTAGTCTGGCAAAGAGCTCATTAAAGCTCATTTCCAATCCGCCGAAATCGAGGCACCAATCAGAAACGTTGGGGCGGGCTTTACACGATGATGACAGCGCTGGGATTTTGAAGCAGATTTTGTAGCCTACATTACAAAGATGGATTCCGCCGTCGAACATCATCAGCTATCCCTGTGAATCAGCTATCCCAAATCGCTGTTTTAAGCGATTTGAACGTTTCCTTTTTGTTAAAAACCGAGCAAAGAACAACACTCGGAGATGTTTCTCCCCCCGCTCTGCATACGTCATCTCCTTCATCGCTCTGATTGGTTTTAGGTCTATCCGCAACGTCCGTTGGTGACGCCCCTCTGGAAATGATTTGTCTATGACGCTTTGCCAGACCATAACTCAGTTACAACTGAGAATGGTCTGGTTTTAACACTCGTACTAGCCTACTTTTATATCACGATGTGTTTAATATTATAGAGCATATAAACATCCTAGTCTCGTACATATATTTATTTTGCATTTAAAGGTTGCCTACCTCATATTTCAACATGGTTCCGTTGATTTCATACATTTTAGTCTGGCAGCATTTCAACTATTACAATGTGAAATTTATGCAACAATAACACGCTAACTTATATAAGTGAGAATACATTTTTTACCTTAAAAATCTTTCGGTAACACTTTAGAATACGGTTCCTTCGTTAATGAATAACTACACAAGAACCAATGAGTAACACAATATTAACAATCTAGTAACTATTATTAACTAACAAGAAACCCTGATTAACGAACTAGTAAGTAATAGCGCACAGATGAAAGTGGTAGTTCACTATTAACTAATCAATAACTACTGTTTTTTTAATGCTTCCCAGAGAACTACTGAAAAAGTTTATTAACAATCTAGTAACTACTACTACTTCAGAAAGTGCTGAAGAAAGGAAGGGCATAAAAGATCTAACAAGCGAACTTCGACGGCAACTCTGCAGACTGAGAAGGGCAGAAAGGTCTCTGAAACTGAGGAAGGAGAAGGAGGCTAAGCGGGCTCAGTTCATTAAGGACCCATACAGGTTTACCAAAACCCTGCTGGGGGAAGCAAGATCCGGAAGATTGACTAGCCCCAAGGAAGTTGTAGAGGAGTTCTTGAAGGAGAGCCACAGTGAGGCCCTCAGGAACCAAGCCTGTGGTGCGCACCCAAAGATCAGCAGAACTGCCGAAACTCCTGAGGAAGAGCTTGATACCAGTGAACCAACATGGAGAGAAGTCCAGGACATTGTGCAGAAAGCCCGTTCAGCATCTGCCCCAGGACCAAGTGGTATACCTTATAAAGTATACAAGAGATGCCCGATGCTCCTCCGCAGGTTATGGAAACTGTTGCGAAGGATTTGGACAAAAGGTATCATTCCAGCATTTTGGAAAAGAGCAGAGGGGTGTTTTGTACCCAAGGAAATGGACTCCTCCGACATCAGTCAGTTCCGAACCATTTCACTCCTAAGTGTCGAATGCAAGGTATTCTTTTCTGTCCTGGCAAAAAGGATGACTACCTACATGGTGAAGAATAAATATGTCGACACATCAGTACAGAAGGGCGGCATTCCAGGTTTCTCCGGGTGCTTGGAACATACGGGCATCCTCAACCAGCTGATCCGGGAGGCCAAGGGGAACAAAGGAAACCTAACGGTTGTCTGGCTCGACTTGGCTAACGCATACGGTTCAATCCCGCATGGCCTCATCAATATGGCTATGGAACACTACTATATCCCCCACCACACCAGGGGTATAATTACCAGCTACTTCGGAGGATTTAAACTACGGTTCAAAACTGCCCAGTTTACAACTCAGTGGCAGGACCTTGAAAAGGGAATCGTGACAGGCTGTACCATCTCCCCCATCCTGTTTGTCATGGGAATGAACCTGCTCATAACAGCTGCAGGAAAGGAATCCAGAGGGCCAACAATGGAGTCTGGCATTCGACAACCTCCAATAAGAGGCTTTATGGATGACCTTACCATAACAACTTCAACCCATGTGCAAGCAAGATGGATCCTGAAGGCACTTGATGACGTGGTAACATGGGCTCGGATGAAGTTCAAACCAAGAAAATCAAGAAGTATGGTGATCAGAAGTGGAAAAGTGACCAGCAAGTTCCAGTTGCGAGTACAGGGGGAGATGATTCCGTCAATTGAGGAAAACCCAATTAAGTGCCTAGGGAAATGGTACGATGCATCCCTGACCGACAGATGCAACGTTTCTAGGACAGAGAAACAGGCAGATGCATGGCTGAGTAAGATCGAGGGGTCAGGACTACAAGGAAAGTTCAAGACCTGGCTCTTCCAGCACGGTCTGTTACCACGACTCATGTGGCTACTGACACTTTATGAAGTACCTATGACAGCAGTGGAAGGAGTCGAGAGGCGAGTGAACAAACACCTTCGCAAGTGGCTCGGAATCCCACCAAGCTTCACGTCAGTAGGGCTTTACACCAGGTCTGGTCAGGTACAGCTACCCCTATCATCAGTGGTGGAAGAGTTCAAGGTGGCAAAGTGCCGGGTCGTGATGATGTACCAAGACTCCACTGATGAAAAAGTCAGAGAAGCAGGCGTCACTACAAGATCAGGACGCAAATGGGCGGCTGACACATCAGTGGCGCAAGCAGAAAGCGCATTGAAGCTGAAGGACATCATCGGGAACCCATGCGTAGGGAGGCAAGGACTCGGGTCCACACACTTCCAGCAGTGGGGTAAAGCAGACCCAAGGCAGAGGAGGGACATGATTCAAGCCGAGGTCCGACACCTGGAGGAAGAAAGGCGCAGGTCTAGGGCCGTCGAACTTGGAGCACAAGGTGCCTGGACAAAGTGGGACCTGCCGAAGCGGAAGATCACGTGGCCTGAGATCTGGAGACAAGAGCCCTTTCGCATCTCCTTCCTACTCCGTTCAGTTTACGACACCCTTCCATCACCAACAAACCTCCACAGGTGGGGAATGAGGGAGGACCCATTGTGTAGGCTATGCGGAGGGAGGGGAACAATGGCGCACATACTGGCAGGATGCAAAACAGCTCTTAGCCAAGGAAGATACAGGTGGCGCCATGACAAGGTTCTCGGTGAACTGGCTGACATCTTGGAGCAGGAGAGGCAGAGAAAGCGCCAGAACAGTACAAGGCCGGCAAAATTCATTCAGTTCATTAGAGAAGGGGAGAAACCACCAGCTCCCAAGAGGAGGAAAAAGAGCCTCTTGCAAGCAGCACAATCCTGGGAGATGAGGGTGGACCTGGGAAGGAAACTAGTCTTCCCCCAGGTTGTGTAAACATCGCTGAGGCCGGACATGGTCCTTTGGTCTGAGGAGGCAAGGAAGATAATCCTAATTGAACTGACGGTGCCGTGGGAAGACGGGTGTGAGGTGGCCTATGAGCGGAAAGCCACCAAGTACCAGGACCTCGTTGAGCAGTGCAGGGCCAAAGGGTGGCAGACCTGGTTATTCCCGGTTGAGGTCGGGTGTAGGGGTTTCCCGGCGCAGTCTGTGTGGAAGACACTCACAGCTCTGGGTATAGCAGGAAGGGAGAGGAAGGCAGCTGTCCGTAGGTTGGGTGAGGCAGCAGAAAGAGCGTCTTGCTGGCTCTGGAATAGGAGGGAGGAGTTGAGCTGGGGGCCAGGAGGAGGTGGGCAGTGACTGGCCACCACTGCCGACCCGCCAACTGGAGGGTGTTGTGGTTCAGGGTCGAAACACCCCATGAAAGTTGGATGCCACCTGATGACATCTTCTCCTGGCTGAAAGCTACAGTCATGCAATACAGTCAGTGACTGAATTAGATAGCATCTGTAAAGATGTACTCAATAGTATTAACTAAAAAGAAACTCTGATTAACGAATTAGTAAGTAATAGCGCACAGATGAAAGTGGTACTTTATACTTCTATGGGAATTACTAATTATTTGGATCCGCATTCTAAAGTGAAGATCATGGGAACTAACTAGTAATGTGACTCAAGTGTTACTACATGATCTAGTCATGATTGGTGCAACCAAACACAAAAGTCATTTCAAGCGTTTGAGATATTTGGTGAACTTTTAAATATACATTTAGAAAATTTCTTTAGAAGTATGTAGTAACATAGTCATTACTAGTTAGTTCCCATGATCTTCACTTTAGAATACGGATCCAAATAATTAGTAATTCCCATAGAAGTATGTAGTAACACTTGAGTCATTACAAGTTTGTTACCATGATTCTTACAGTAGTTACTAATGAAAAGCCAATACAGTGTAGAATCTTCTAATCACTCACAAGATATCCACACACACAGACACACAGACACACACACACACATATATATATATATATATATATATATATATATATATATATATATATATATATATATATATATATATATATATATATATATATATATATATATGAGCTAGGAGATTTTTTTGGGAGGTAGGCTAAATAATAAAATAACTGTATATGATATTTGGGTGGCTGAACACTCAATATGCTCCAGTACTCACTATGACTCTAGTGATTCAATGCCAGTCCAGAGGAATGCCGGAAAACTGCATTTAAAAATCCATTTCTTTAAAATTATTCAGTTGATAAATAGACAGCATAGGCCAATTATTAACAGCTTTCACAAATCAAAAGTCTGCTATGCTATTACATATTGATAATGTAAACAACCTTGTGTATTCGTTTACAGTAGCAGTTAAAATGTTAATGTAGTGCTAGTCATTTGTCCTGCATTGGTTATTGATTAGTTTTGCATGAATTATGAAACTTTTTCAGTAGTTCTCTGGGAAGCATTAAAAAAATAGTAGTTATTGATTAGTGAACTACCACTTTCATCTGTGCGCTATGACTTACTAGTTCGTTAATCAGAGTTTCTTGTTAGTTAATAATAGTTACTAGATTGTTAATATTGTGTTACTCATTGGTTCTTGTGTAGTTATTTATTAACGAAGGAACCGTATTCTAAAGTGTTACCAATCTTTCTTATCTTTAAATTGTGTTCTTCTTCTTCTGAGGTAAATCCAAAGTAAACTCACACCATGTCTTCCAAACTCGATGAAAAACAGAAGAATGATGAAGTTTGATGCTTTGTTTTGAGGTGATGGGGGCGTTAAACAACATTTTGTTTTTATTATGAATGTACACAAATAAAAGTAGACATTTAACAATTTTTAATTATATATAACACTTATAATGTATGATAAAAATCGACTGAGTTATTTGAGTCTCTTTTGCACTGATAAGTAAAAAGTGTGGCTGTCGAGCCGGTGCAACGGCTGACCCCTGGGGGTTAAAACGAACCCTGGTGCGATTGTTATGTTAGTGTGGTTCATTTGAATAAGTGTGAACGCTGCCGTCCAAACCCTGGTGCGCATCAAACAACATCTTGTGACTTCACTGCCATGTTTTTGGTTCATTTACCCATCTTCGATCTGTGTTGCGGCATTGACTGTAGAGCAAAGTCTAGACCACAATGTAATGAAATCCGCTGTGTTACAAGCTTATTCCAAAATCATTGGCAAAAATATAGAAAGCATATGAAAACCTCCAGCCAAAGATTTGTTGAATTTGCCCGAGAAAGACTATTCTGTTTAAGAAATTGTGTGCAGCAGTGTGCAAATGTCATAGTTCAAGGAATTGAACTTGGGGTAGTCAGGGTTCCCCTCCACGCTGTATATTTGCATTCTCATGTTAGTTAAAATAGACGTACAACCTCAGTTGCCACTGAAGGCCATTTCTCTCATCCTCGGAAAGGATTTAGCCAGAAGCAAGTTATTTTCCCTTTCTAAAATAGTTGGTATGCCTTGTGTGTCAAAAACCAATGAGATATTGACTCAGGAGTTTCCAAACGTGGCTCGTAAGTTTGAAGGAGAACTTGATCTCTCTGACTCATTCATGTGCTCAGATTTGTCAGATGTGAAGACGGGTTTAGATGTGGGGACCCAAAATGTATGCTTTGGGCCAAATATTATACATTCCTTTTGACAGGAAGCACCTAATCGAAGCCCAAAAATCTGATGATACCCTTACTACTACTTATACTGCTGTGATGGATAAAACTGTGTTACCTGATCATGTAGTTGCTTACTTTCTAGATGATGGTGTACTTGCGTACCTGGAGTCCTAAACAAAAGCGTGACTGGAACTCTGTTTCTCAGATAGTTGTGCCTAATTCTTACAGAAAGTATGTTATATATGTTGCTCATGAATTATCTGGACATTTAGGTATCAAGAAAACCTATAACAATATGAGGAAAAAAAATTCTGGCCTGGCATGAAAGTTAGTGTTATCACGGTGTGGTGTTGGAGGAAGACAAGACAAGGCAGAAGGTCCAGTATAAACTTCTTTACTAGATATAGCTTCAGGTAGGTACAGACAGGCAGAGGTGGAAAGAGTAATAAAATATTCTACTCAAGTAAAAGAACTACTACTTCAATTAAATTTTACTTGTACAAGTAAAAGTACCGGTCTAAAAATCTACTCAAGTAAAAGTAAAAAGTAGCTAATTTAAAATTTACTCAGAGTAAAAGTTACTGAGTAACTTTTCTAACAGCGGGGGTGGGGGACTCATCCGTGTAGGCTTGTAATGGTATGAGATTTTCACAGTATGATAACGCCTCAGAAAATATCGCGGTTTACAGTATTAATCAATTATTAAATAAATAAACTGTATTATTAAATTATGGGTATTATTATTATCATCAGTTAAAATGACAGTTAAATTAAAGGGTCACTTCAGGATTTAGCATTAAGCTTTGTATCAGTAGAAAACCTGTAGTATCTCTCTCCCCCCCTACAGTCTACAGTCAGTAGTAGGGGCTGTCCCGCATGTTCTCAACCCGCCCATAGAGGCTGGGATCTCACTCACAGAATGTACACATAGGCCCTCATTTATCAAAAGTGCGTACACCAAATTTCCAGCGTACACCTGGCGTACACCCAAAACCACGGTGACTTTGTCACTTTGAGATTTATCAATATGGACGTTGGCGTACGGCACTCTCAAATCCTACGCCAGCTCAGGAGGTGGTGTACGCACATTTTGAGTTAGTGCGGAAATGCGCAGAAAAACAATTCCTAACACCACAAAACGCACTGACAAACTAAAAGATATGATATATTATGACCAACAACAACAACATAGTAATTATAAACTTCAGTGTTTATTTTTGTGCAAAAATTGAATTGAATGCTAATTGTTTCAAAAGACGTGCTGTAAAATAATGCATTGTGATAGGTCATTTCGGCTCCACGTTGGAGAAGTTTCTCTTCTGTGCGGTCTTCCGTGTGTACATGGCGTAAAATGAGGGCGTGGGGGAAGCGGAGACTTGAATATATAGGGGCGTGTTATTCTAATGATGATCGTTTTCAGCCGCGGGATTTATCAAGGGCAGGTATTGCGTACACCTGGATTTCAAAGGTACGCACAGCTTCATAAATTAGGCGGTGAGAGGAGTGTAAGCATAATCTTACGCCAAATACGCCCGTTTCTACGCAAGAATGATAAATGAGGGCCATAGTGTCAGCCATCTTTGTTTGGAAGCTAAGCTAAGCAGGCTCTTGTTCTGTGGAGAAAGCTGAGCAGTAGGGGTTACCATCCTCTTTTTCCCAGACGTCGAGATCGTCCAAAATGTCCGGGATTCAGCTTCTGCTTTCTGCAGTCGCCATTCATTGTTTACATGCACACCTTTTGTTGTAATCTAACTGAATTCATTCCAATTGGTGAATCTGAATGTAGTGTTTACATGAACGCTAAACAAGTGATCGGTTGATGTGTGTTTTGACATTGCTAAGAAAATTCCTGCTCCTCCGTGAGGGCCGCGTTCTCCCGCGGCCCTCACTCGTCCTGCTTGCCACAGTAAACATGATGAATGGCGACTAGGGATGGGCGTATCGATCCTGTGGTATCGATAGATCGATATACTCGCGCTACTCATTTGGCATCGATTTCCTTAAAAAAATATCGATAAACTAAAAAATTATAATTGGGGTTGTATGTATCACTTTCAGCTGTTTTAGATTACTTCCCTAAATTACTATGTGCCGGGACACCCCTGGCGGCGTATTGAGCTGGCCCATGTCACGTGACAGGAGACGAGCGAATGAGCGACATTGTGCGACACAGCCGACAACGACACACACACACAGCCAACCAAGGCCACCAGCCCAGCACGAAAGCGGGAGCCGCAGGGAAAGAAGCGTATAATATGGCAGACAAAAAACGAAGCATGGTGGTGTCAGACAGTTTTCTAGTTCATTTTTCTAAGTTCATTTTCTCAGGGAACAACTGTCTTTCT